CTTCTTCTTTGCTTTGCCCGTCCACTTGAGCCTAGAAGAAGATGGTATAGACTAGGTTAGATTGATAGGAATGCCCATACTCTTGATTATCCCTTCATCTGTTACCAATTCTATAAGAATATCAGCGAGTGTGAACTCAAACTGATTCCTTATTTAGTTTACTCTAACAGAGTCGAACGAGTTTGGTAACAAGGCAATAATCATGTCAACTTGAAACTTATCACCCAAGTCAGCCCTATTGATCTCCAACTAATTTTTAAATAATAAACAATCATTTTCCAAAATTCGATTTCATACTGGAGTTCCTTAGACTATCTTGATAGTGTTCAAGTCTGACATAGTACGTAGGCATACACCCTATCTAATCCCACTAAAACATCTCATTAAGTATCATAAAGTAAAGTAATTAGGTATAGGAGTATTATATACATTTTGTACCCTTTCGTTGTGAATAAAATATCTAAGTTCCTTTCCCAGTCAATATTAATGAGGTCCAGTTACATTGAATATGTAAGCAAGCAGATAAACTGGATTAGACATAAATAATCTGAATATAAATGCAATCATACAATATGCAAGGTGAATTATTAATACTGTCATGCACATTTAAAATTAAAATGAGTTTATTAACCACATAATATAATAAATCTCAATCGAGCAAAAGATCATTATCATTATTGGTGAACAATCCCTTTTAATTAATGCGGGTCCCTCAACTCTGTAGCATAATAAATCAACCAATGAATATGTCAATAACTTATCCTGTTAGAGGAGTTCATTATTACTATTGTTGAGATTCATTTACTATTAGGCGAAGACTTCCATTAAAATAGTATGTGGGTCCATTAACCACTGCATGAAAAATCGGATAACCAGTGCGCCAATAACTTATTCGGTAGGCGAAGTTCATTATTTCTATTGGCAAGCAAATCCCATCATCTCCATATCTCTTAAGACAATGCCTTGTCTATCTATATGAAATGATTCCCGATTATGTTTAGACTTTCTAAAATCACCTAGTGTAGACCACTCCATTGGGGAGCTAACACTATTGATTTTAGATTGAGTGTATAACGTTATTAATGCTCTAATGAAAAATAAAACATTAAATATCTTGTCATTATAATCTAGACTCTTTAAATCATGCGTAGGGCCTTATTTTTAAAGATCTAATTACAATGAACATTTAATATTTTTTTATTTTTATGAGACCACCATTCTTGTAATATTAAGACTCTTCAAATCATGCGTGGGGCCTTATTTTTGAAGATCTAATTACAATGGTGTTAATAACAAAGGCCATAGGGCAATGTATAAAAATTCCCGCTCCCACTCAATTTTTAATCATTCATAATTAGGGTTTTCATTTTATTCATTTACATGATATAATGCATGCAAAACGTCTTGATTTTAATCCAATTAAATTTAAAAAATATTTGGACTTTAAACGATTCACTAATATTTAATTTGAGGCACACTTTAAAAATAATTTACAAAAATAATTTTTCGTTTCCCAATGAGTGCTCTCAAATTAATTAGTAATCAAATCCAATTAATTTTCATAATTTAATTAATATAAATCAAGTCATTTAATTAAATATCATGGATCCAATGCATGAATAATAATAATAAACAATTAATTATTTCATGCATCAGTTAAATAAATAAATAACAGACAGAAGCAATTTAAATGGCCAATGGATTCAGCTTTTAACATTTATATACTCTAAGTAATGCGCGAAGGTCTATCATAGGCTTGTATACACCTAAAAGAGGCTTTAACTCGATCCCACGCGCCACCGGACACAATTGGACACCTCAAAACTCATCTGATGCACCTGCACGCGCTTCTGGAGGTTACCAGCGCGTGTCACGCGCTCCCACGCGCCTGCACGCGCTAGGAGGAGGTAGGAGAGTCTGTCACCCGCTCCCAAGCGCTTTCACGCGCGTGGGAGCACTTCCACGCGCGTGCACGCGCACTTGGAAGAGGTTAGCTTGTGCTGGCGGGTGCTTCTCACGCGCCAGCAACCTGTTGACCCTGGCGCGTGTCAGGTGTATTATATTGGTGCTGCACTTGATTGCAGCCCTTCATCCAGCGGCTGTGGATCCGGTTGCATGGTCTCGCGCCGCACTGGATCCCAGCTTTTACTCCGGCGCTTGTGCTTGCCGCTGGTGAATCTCCGTTCGCCGGAAAATCGCCGAAAAATAATAAAAAATTCTGGAAAAATTAAATAAAGCTCCAAAAATTCCAGAAAATTTCAGAAGCCTAATTTAACCCTTTTGGACCTTCTTGAAGCTTCATAGTATCCTTTGACGAAGATTACATGGCTTTAAAAATATTTAGAATTTGAAATACAATGGAAAAAAATTAAATTACATCATTGAACTTTCAAACGGCTAAATCAAAGCCTTAATTACATTCATCCAAAGATAAAATTACATTCAATAACCTATAAGCTTCATCCATGACCCAAACATACATCATCATCCATTCACAATTTTACATACATCATCATGTATCAATATATTAAATCATACATTAACATACATCAATATATATATATATATATATATATATATAATTCGATCCATGATGATGATTTTGATAAAAAAACATGATCTCTAGTAATGAATCAAACCATGCTCTGATACCACTATTGGGAAACGTGCAAGTTTTAAAAACTTTTCGAGGGATTTTAATACATAGATCTTGATTCATCACATAGAGACAAGTTTTATGCAAAAATAAAATATGATGTATCATTCAATTAACAGATTGAATACTTACATCAAATGTCTGAGTAAACCTTTAATTCTTTCCTCTAAAGTGAATGTTCTCACTTATTGTAGATCCCTTAGCAAGACGCCTTCTCCTTGGATCTCCATCTTTTTGATAATTGTTTTGCCTTTAGGAATCACTCATATGCCTCCATGAATGACCTTGGAAAATTAGGCTTGTGGGAGCTTCCATTAGATGAGAACATAAACCCTAATTTTCTAAAGAGAGAAAATATATTCCTTTTTTCCTTCTACTCAAAATCACCCCTAAAATATACATAGACCATGTATATTTATAGGCAATATAAAGGTAAAGAAAATGAAACAACTAATCCTTCTCAATCTCTAATTCACATGTCTCAAATCTAATATGATTCCAATATCAAGTTGGGCTATGAGTGAGAATCCTTTGGGCTTATTATTTTATTGGCTACAATGAATTAATAATTGGCCCGGTCCATGGACCCAATTCAATCAATTCATAAATTAATTTATACTCCACTAAAAGAAATTAATTGAACTCCAATTAAATAATAAATAACTTCTAAGTCAATATTGCACTTTGACTCCTCTATGCGTAATTAATTATCGGATAAATAAAGCCATCAATCCGACTACTTAATTAATATATTTATTTTGATACCTTTGATTATTTCTGGCTCGATCACAATAAAACATTAGTTTGACAAAAATAATAATTTAAATAAATAAATATATAATAAATCATTTTGTCTCAAAACACACGACGGCCTTCGAATTTACTTTGTGATCAACCATAATCAATACAAAATAAATACAAATAGCAATGATGCAAATATCGAAAATATAACCCTCTAACTATTAATTACACAACCACCCAAAGTGTCGGTTTAAGGATCCCGAAGAATCCGCCGAACAAATCAAAGTAATTATTAATTAATAAAAGAGTCTATAATTTTCTCATACTTAAGAGTCAAATGCCATGACGGTGATAGGGAGCAATTGCATACAACGGCTCTCGCAATATATCTCAACCTAATGCGGATCTAGTTCAAATCTTAATTAATTATGAGTCCATCTATAATTACCGACTATGAACCATTTATGGTTACTATTTATATATCATGCATTAATTGCCATCACATACATATATATAAATATCTCTTGTAATTAAATAGACACTATCAATTCTATAATGAATCGAAATATAATATATTGAATTCGCCAATTATATAAAATATAAATATTTCAAAAACGTCAGGAACATATGTTACTTTAATCCAAACAGGAATTTGCTATGCCAGGGCATATAAATCCCAACAGTTATATGATATATCTTCAAGAAATTGATACAATTAACTGGTTGTGCGACGTTAGTGGTGAAGTCATACCCCTAGCTCTCTCTCACTCTCTATTTTCTACATCGTATTTGACAAACTTATTTTACACAAGTCCCTTGGGTCTGACACCCTTACAAGTAAACCCTATCTGCAAAGATTTGTACACTTGCGAGTGGTACATATAAAGCTCACAACACTCACTATCTATTTTGGGAGGTAAAAAAAATTTCAACGGGCCACAAAACCCTTAATAAATAAAACATTTATTTTGAAACAACAAAAATAGAAAAATTAAATATTTATTTTAGAACCATGGGAATATATTTTATCATATTGTTAAGATATATATATATATATATATATATATATATATATATATATATATAACCAGACGTGACTTAGACGTGTCTAGAGAGTCGTGTGAAATAAATAATTACTTTTGCTTATAAGAGAGATTCCAATTTGGAGTATAGCCTTTGATGCGGTTTTGGGGTCAAAGTTTGACTTACATTAATTTATATATCAACAATAATTGTTATTTTTATTGATGCCTTCAAAGTATGCGTACCAACTGGCAATGACAACACACTTCAAAGTATGCAAACCCACTGGCAATGACAACGCACTTACAAAGACCCTCTGCCTTCTCGCTTTCTTAGCCCCAAATACCACCGAGTTGGTCTAATCTACCTTCTTTCTCTGGAGCTTCAAATTCTAGCTCTGCTTGAGCTCTGCGTCTCTGTTCCTATCAATTTTTATTTACTATTTACTCAGTGGCCACAAGATCAGCAATATTCATCGACAATTCTTTCTTCTTCCTTTTTTGAAAAGTAATATTCATCGCCATTTTATAGTTCTAGCTGCCTAACTGCCATTAATTACAACTCATAATAACAAGTTAGGATGGATAATGTTCAAAGGTTGAATGCTCATGCTCAAGATGGAAATATCGAAGGGTTGTGCGCAGTGATTGGGGTAGATCCACATGTATTGGAGGGCATTGATAAGATCCCATTTGTTGAAACTCCTCTTCACGTAGCTGCTTCTGCTGGGCAAGTCCATTTCGCCATTGAAATTTTTAGCTTAAAGCCATCGTTTGGTCGGAAGCTAAATCCAAATGGACTAAGCCCGTTGCACCTGGCTGTCCCCTCTGGCCTGGCTGAGCCATTGACACGAGCACAACAAGCTGAAACTGCAATACGGCTCATAAACATTGACAGGGAGCTCATCAGAGTCCAAGGGAGGGGGAGGATGACTCCATTACATTATGCAGCTGAAAGAAATAAATTCGATCTTCTGGCGGAATTTCTGTGCGCTTGCCCATTATCTATCGAGGATTTGACTATTCGAGGTGAAACTGCTTTGCATGTTGCTGTGAGAAATGGTAGTTTTACAACTTCTGAAGTCATTTTGGGATGGCATCGAAAGATCGATGAACGATTTAACTGGACATATATACCTTACCAGTTTTTACTGCGAGAAACCTACAAAGGGGTGCTAAGATGGAAGAACGAGGATGGAGACACTGCATTGCATATTGCAGCATCCACTAACCAACCTAAGGTTTGAAATTCTCCTTCTCTTTAATTTTCTCAGCTTTTGAATTTAGTGTGTGTGTGTATATATATATATATAATTCATTAATTTATATATAGTCTATTGGAGACTGATTAATCCATTTTTGGGACTGTATATATATATATATATATTCAGGATGTGAAGTTGTTGATGAATAGAGTATACATGAATGATAAGAATTTACAGAATTCGACCCCGCTTGATTCAGGTTACCAACACCAAGAGGTGAAAGATATTTTAATGAGTGCAGGAGCTTCAAGAGGTGCAACCATTAGTAATTCGTCGGCTAGTACTAGTCTAGCAGACTTTATGAGTGACAGTTTGTTCCATGTTCTGCACAGGGGCTTGTCAGGCGACATGGGTAATGTGGTACTAGTGGTGGCTGTGCTCACTGCAACTGCTACCTTCCAAGTTCCACGCACTGGCATGACTACAATTCTTGGACACAGAATAATCGCACGTTCAATTATGCTCGACATTGCCCTGGTTTTGAACTCAGTAGCATTTTTCTCCTCAGTAGGAGTGATAGCTTTTACTCTCCGAAATAGCTTTGTCACTCAGTTGCTGAAACTATGTCTATTTTTTGTGACATTAACGTACCTCTCTTTGGTGGCTTCCCTAATATCAACGGCTGATGCTATTGCTCCTCGTGTTGCCTTCGGTATGTGTGTCTGTGTGTACTTTTCAGTTCTTTATGCGGCCATCGTACGCAGGGTTTTCCAGTCTAAAAGTCAGATCATGACTTTCTCAAAAATATCAATTGGCAGGTGTAATCCTTCTGGCTTCTTTGAAATGCGTCGCCAAATTGTTGGTTGGTAATTAAGGTAATAATAAATATTCATGCTAACCCAGCGTGAATATAAGAACCAAAAAAAGTAGTGCGATCATGTCATCCATCTATTTTCAAGAATTGCAAATACGTGGAGGAGTGATTAAAAATAAAAATAAAAATAAAAAATGCATTCGTGTGATAGGATCATAGGAGTGTAAGCAATGTGTTTATGATGGGTAGTGTGTGACTAAAGGGGAGTAACACTTCTGTGTAATCAAAGAAAATTGTGTGGTTTTAATGGTGATAATGGAAATTCGCAGTATAAAGTTTTTGCCTCAAGTTTTCTCTAATTGAATTTAGCCCGTCCTACTTTGTCCTAGTTACATGTTGAAGGAATTTTTGACCTTCATCCTTTGCATTCTTTATACATGACGTATTCCTTTAATGGAGGCTTGAAATACATGATTAACAAATCTATTGCAGAGGATTCATCCACCGTACTCCATAGAATGTAAATAGTTCGTTACCTTTTTGTACTAATTGCAGTTACACCTTCCACTTTCTAAAAATTTAAACTGTTATTATAAAAGGGTGTAACTTAAATGATTTATATATTACCAAGAAAAAAATCTTTAATGATATGTATCTCATAAATTAACCATTATTATTATTATTATTATTATTGTATTTTATTAAAACCTTAATTACTTAACCCGAGTGGAAAGAATATATATAGCTAGTTACAAAAAAAGATGCCTTCAGAAATGCAGCTTCCAATGCAATAGCTGCGCTTTTGCAGTGTCTGTGAACAATTAGGAGCGGGGTCTTCTCATTTTAGTGCTTAAATTATTTATGGGTAAAATGTTCGGGCACCCTTCTACACACAGATTAAATTAGTGAATAAAACCCCAAGTCTTCCCTTGACGTTTGGTTGACTTTTTCGATCATTCCGTTCTGTTAGTTGACCGTCAGCCATGTTAAAAGCCAATTAATTTTGAAAATGATGTATCAAAGCTACCGTGCTTGTGTCCTCAATTAAAAATGGATCAACTCGCTCGAAATGAGTTAATCCAATTAAAACCCATTTGATGCCATGGACGGGCATCTTCATTTCTGTTACTACACTCTGTGTTTATATCCGATTAAAACCCAAAACTTCGTCTTCTTCATTGCGACCAGACTCCATCTTCTTGAACTCCAACCCAACCCATTTGATTCATCAAAGGACCAAAACGTCAAAGTTTCGACTCACTGTTTGAACAACAATCCATCTGGGTTTATTCCCAATTGAATGGTCATCCACCGAAGAGAAACAAATCAAGGAAGTCCTCTCCTTTCTGATTATGTTAATTATCGGAGCGAGTCCGCGCTGTCGACGAGGCTGAATTGTTCAAGTTCAACTACTCCAAAGTCGATAAACATGCTGATACTATTGCGGAAAAGGTATTGTTGTCTCTATGTCCTTAATTGCGGGTAACAATCCTATTCTTTGTTGTCTCTCTTCATCTTCTTCATCGATATCATGAGTGGCGGTTAGATTTGTTGCTCGAAATTTGTATACAAAAATTAGTTTCTTTTTTGTTTTGGGTTGTTCTATTTTAAGGGTTGCGATTAATATAGTAACTCCTCATAGTTAACTAGTGTAATTCTTGTTCACAAAAAATGATTTTTGAAGGCAAAATAAATAGAGATGGGTTTGGGTAGAGAGAGAATAGAAGAAATATGTAAGGAGTTTAAAAGTTAGTGTTGTAAGCAGAGGGAGAGTTATGTAATTCTTGTTGAAAATAAACTTGATTTTAGAATTTTAGTTTTAATTAGTATTTTCAAGTATTTGGTATACATGATGCATGTGTGCATTTCATGTTAGTGGGGTAAATGGTGCTGATGGAGAAGGTTATATAAGACTAAGCCCTGTTTGGATTGGCTTTTCAAACGCTACTTTTGACTTTCTGGGCATAGAAGCTATTATGAAGGGTGTTTGGATAATTTTATAGAAGAGCTTTTAGCTCTTAGAAGAGCGTTTTGAGAAGCTAGGGACCCCCAGCTTTGGCAAAACACTCTCTAGATACACATGAGAAGCCGTTTATGGATTTAATGAATCTTTCAATATTTCAAGCGTACCATTTTCTTTTAGGCATTGAGAAAATAAAATTACAACATCTGCCATTATAAAAGATATTTATTATTCCTAAACCCTAAGGACAACTCAAACGACAACTTCTCGCTTTAAGGATCTCTTTCGTTTCAGGCAAGGATACGACATCTTTTACTTTGTTGTATATGAATGATTGATTATATGTTGTATATGAATGTTGGATTGAATGTATGATGTGAAGTTTGGAGTAACCAAAATTTTGAACTAATTAATTATACTGTTTTTCTTAACCAATTTTTTATTTATGTGCTAATCGATCACATGAATGTTGCATTATTAAACATCCATTTTTGTATTAACAACCATTTTTTCATGATATATGGATGCATATACATATACAACATTATAACATTTGTTATAAATACGTTTTTTATATTATATTTGACATATTATTATAACTATGCTTTTTATACTGTGACTGAAATATTAGAGAAAACTTTAACAATAATTAAAGTATTGAGTACTGTATTCTTTTACTTTGTTGTATATGAATGATTGACTCTACTTTGTATATGAATGTTGGATTGAATATATGGTGTGATGTTTGGAGTTACCAAAATTTTGAACTAATTAATCATACTGTTTTTCTTAACCTATTTTTTATTTATGCCCCTAATCAATATGTTGCATCATTAAATAACCATTTTTGAATGAACAACCATTTTTCCATGATATATGGATGCATATACATATACAACATTATAACATTTGTTATAACTATGCTTTTTATACTATGTTTGACATATTGTTATGAGTGTTTGTGATTGAGATATTGGAGAAAAGTTTAATAAGAATAATTGTAATATTTTATTTTATTATATATGAATGATTGATTCTATTTTGTATATGAATGTTGAATTGAAGATATGGTGTGAAGTTTGGAATGACCAAAATTTTGTACTAATTAATCATATTGTTTTTCTTAACCCATTTTTTTTTTTTTTTTTATGCCCGATCACATGCATCATTCACATATGAACATTGTTGTATGGATACATATACATACATATATGTATGAACACTTAAACAATCATTTTTGTATGAACAACCATTTTCCCATGATATATGGATACATTTGATGAGTTAATCCAATTAAAACCCATTTGATGCCATGGACAGGCATCTTTATTTCTCTTACTACCCTCTGTGTTTATATCCGATTAAAACCCAAAACTTCGTCTTTTTCATTGCGACCAGAAGCCATCTTCTTGAACTCCAACCCAACCCATTTGATTCATCAAAGGACCAAAACATCAAAGTTTCGACTCAGTGTTTGAACAACAATCCATCTGGTTTTATTCCCAATTGAATGGTCGATCGATGGCTAAGTTCTCTCCTTTCTAATTATGTTAATTATCGGAACGAGTTCGCGCTGTCGACGAGGCTGAATTATTCAAGTTCGACTACTCCAAAGTCGATAAACATGCTAATCCTATTGCGGAAGAGGTATTGTTGTCTCTGTGTCCTTAATTGCGGGTAACACTCCTATTCTTTATTGTTTATCTTCATCTTCTTCATCGATATCATCAGTGGCGGTTAGGTTTGTTGCTCAAAATTTGTGTACAAAAGTTAGTTTCTTTTTTGTTTGGGTTGTTTTATTTTAGAGTTGTGATTGATATGGTAACTCCTTGTAGTTAACTTGTGTAATTCTTATTCACAAAAAAATGATTTTTGAAGACTCTATAAATAGAGATGGGTTTGGGTAGAGAGAGAGAATAGAAGAAATATGCAAGGGGTTTAAAAGTTAGTGTTGTGAGTAGAGGGGGGAGTTATATAATTCTCAAGCGTATAGATGTATGTAGTCTCAAAAGTGATGAACCAAGAAGGGGGTGAATTGGTTCTTTTTAATCCAAGGTTGTTAAAATCGGGATTCTAGGTAGAATCATTTTGAATTCCGTAGAATTGGAATCATAGAATTAGATCGTAAATCGTGAGATTCTACCAAATTAATAAAAATACAACTCAAACTAATTTTCTCAACAAAAATTATCTTCAAAATAAATAAAAAATAGCCAAAAACACAAATATAAATATTTATATATATATATATAAAAGAATAAGTTC